AATATGATTCGTGTTCAGATTAATTTTTAATGAATTTTGACGGGTCGTTTACATTAATATGTTAATAATTTAAGGAGCTATGGACATCTGTATATTGGTATTAATTCTAAAATGTCAACAGTAAATAATATTAAAAGGGCTACCGTTGTACGACCTTAAAATCTGGGTATCAAATTATCAATTTATTACAGTATACAGTTAGTAGTAGTCAGTACAAAACTTATAATGGTATATCCGTATATCGTTTGATATTATAACCAATTACTGATTATTTTTATTTATGAAGTAATTGCATCTCTTATCTGAGAAATGAAGAGTTTAGAATTTTAGATTATAAAATCCACTGTTCAAGATTGTGGTATAATCTAAGACCGCGATAATAGTGTTTGGTAATATCAGGGTATAGACACTGCAGCTGCTGTGTGTAATGGCAAAATCTGGTGACTGTAGCCTTGAACACGGTCTTTAGGAGGGAGTGGCATGCATTATCACTTAAATAAATCATATCATTATTATCACACAAAAAGAGACAGAACTGGGGGCCGATTCCGCTAACGCGTGTTGGTTGCATTAAGCGTAGTTGGCATGATTGGAACATTATGATATTATCAGCGCATTCGACGTTATCATTTAAGCTATTCTCTTAAAGACGTAAACAACGTTAACTGTGAACTTCAAATATCACGTAATCTTATAACTTATTACGTTAATGTCCAAAACATTTTTTTTTTTTAAACATTTATATTTTTTTATTTTACCATGGCTGTTTCAGGTTTGAATAGTTAAGTTTATTTAAAATGCTTTTCACACTATAATAGTATAATATAATATAGTATATTATTTTAATATTAGTGTATACTGTATAGTATTATACGTTTAATATACCTACTTACCTATATTTGTGTAGATTTCAATAATACATTTTTAGTTGATTACTAGTTATTCTTATTATTTATTCATTTTTAGTTTGTTAATTACAATTAAATTGTTTAGTAGTACATGTTTAGACAGTACTTAACCCATCATAAGAATAATAAATTATACAAATACCAACAGTGCATTAACAACTTTTTTCTAGCTTTCTGTGCATCAAATTCTTTAATAAGATCAATCTAATTCATTCTTTGTAGGACACTATTCTCAATAGACATATAATATATTAAACCTATAATTTACATTAAATTAATGATTATTTTGAAATAGTTTAAGAAAGAAGGCTACATACGAGCAGAAAGAATTGATTACCTCATTCCTAGATGAGCATGATGGCATGCGAACTAGAAAATTTTCTGTCGAAATGACTTATCAAAAGTATCAAAACCTATGGAATGAATTAACATTACAACTTAATCGTATAGGACCTTCAAAAAACGTCAAAGACTGGCAAAAAGTTAGTTTTTTTTTTTCAATCATATTACATAAAACTATTAGAGTAATACTATTATAACTTAAAGTACTTGCTTGTTATAAATACCTACCTTTTTATAATTGAATTCTAAATGCACTTAGAATTGGAACGAATTGATGTACATATTGAACCACTTTCAATCGAAGATGAAAACATTCTAAAACTGATGGGTGGTAATATTGTTGTTAGCGGTGATAATGAAATACAAGAAGCAGGATTACCTATGTTTGATGTAGTAAGCATTTTAATCAATGTATTGAGTATTTTATTAATTAATTTTACTGAAAGATGATAGACACATAAATATGATACAATTCTGCTGTTTACTATCACAATTAATATTTTTAACTTAACATTATAACATATTATACTAAAATTATTTTTATTTATATTATTCAATAATTGTATTGAATAAAAAATGTAAATTTAATTTTTAAAAACTTGTGTCTAATTTTATTCAAATTTATCAAGTATCTAGTATCGTGATACTCCAAAGTGAAGTATTTAGTTTTATGATACTGAATTTTAAGTTACTTGCCCATTCCTGTACATATTCTATAATAGTAGAAGGTATAATATTGAATGCTTAATCTATGATATAAAAATTATTTCAATTTTGTTTCAATAGAGTAATGTTTCGTGTGAAGAATATACAATTGGAATTTCAGATATACCTGAATCAACTGTAGTAAGTAACTATTTGGAATATATATTTATTTCAATATGTTAGTGATGTTAACAATATAATTATTAAAAATTAATTAATTTTTCTCAAAGGGACAAATGTACAATGAAAGTTTCACCTTCAGTGTTGAAGATCAAACAAACACAAAACAAACAATTAACAACCAAGACATGGTTGACACAGCTCATGATCAAAAAGATGCAGGAGAGCAAAAACACCTAAAAGAGTTAGTTTTATGTATTTTTACCTTTTTAATGATACAATGTTTAAGCTTATTTTCCCAAGCTACATAATACTTTTTTTTTATTCTAGAAGAAAAAGAAGTCTTTAGATTCTTATCCAATGGATAAAGAATATTTGATACAATTTCAAACTGAAAATAATGAAATCCAGCGGGAAATTGTATCAACAATGCATCACAGAAATAAAATTGAACAGCAAAAAGTTGCATTAAGTGAAAAAAAAATTGGCTATTCTTTTACAGAAGAATGTACTAGAGCAACAAAAAATAGATGCCATTAATAATGTATCCAATGTATTATTAAATTTTATTTTGTCTAAGCAAAATGATAAATAAATGTATATTTGTATATGAACCTTTACTTCCTAAAATTTATTACGTTTTATGTAATAAGATATTTACTATATTTTGTTTAAGTTTAATATTTTAATTTTTTTTTATTTTAGTTTGTTCAAGTTTTATTGTTATTTTTATTTCTTTAAATGTAATATGTTTTATATAATAAGATGTTTATTTTATTTTGTTCAAGTTTAATTTTTAACAAAATATACTATCATTTAAAACTAATAAAAATAATATTGAAAATACTATTTATTGAACACGATTAATATAATCCATAATTTCTGATCGATTATTATTACCCTCTGTGTGAAGAGAATTTCCTGCTGGAAAATGTATAAAGTCATTGGCGTTATAAGGTTCATCRTACTCTTCATTTTCATAAGCGGCATCAAAATTTTCAATACAAATATTGTGGAGAACTGCGCAGGCATTTATAATTTTACTTGCAATTGTTGGTTTATAATGCAACATTCTTTGTTTGCAAAGGCATCTCCAGCGACCTTTCAACATACCAATAGCTCGTTCCACAACTGATCTAGCTGAAGTGAATTTAACATTAAACCTACTTTCTGGGCTTCCATCTCCTGGATTACTAAATGGTGTAAGTAACCAAGGCTCTAATGGATAACCACTATCACCTAAAAGCCATTCATGATCATGCCTGTATGTGTTACTTAAATGGTTTCTAATTAACGACATTTTCCAAATGTGAGAATCGTGTGTGGATCCAGGGAACTTGGCATTTACATTCAATATACGGTAGGTATGATCAACTATCTATAAATAATACAATTTTTTTAATTAATTAATTAATTCAAATAAAAAGCTTACAGTAAATAATACAAAGTTTTAAGATACTCAGAAATAATTACTTACCAACTGGGTATTGATGGAATGAAACCCTTGTATTGTATTGTATTTCTCGAACTTCTTCATCCAGCAACAATCGAATATTAAATTGTAAATTATTATTCATTGTACATATATAGGTAATAAAATGACGAATAAATTGTACTTTTAACCACTACAGTCTACAAGCTATATTACAATTATTTATTTTATAATATAATGAATAAATATTAAGATTATTCTACGAAATAAGAGTAAGATTTCGTCGTAGGTGCATAACAGCATAAATAAACATAATATTTTACATATTGAAATATAAATATTATCAATAAATAACAAACTAATTGATAACGAAATCGTAATATATATAAAATATCACGCTATACACGCTCAAAACGACATAGTTTTCATGTCGTTTTCGGCGTAATAATTGGAGTCCATTCTGCCGGATCTGCCGAACACGCCGTAATGGAATAGCAATACGCCTTCAATTCGCTTTGGTAATTACGCGCATTACGTATAGTACGACGATCACGCGTTAGCGGAATCGGCCCCCTGATATAGTGTTTTGTAATGTCCTTTGGCCATTGCGTTTGTTTGGTCGTTTCTGTTTTTATAATTCCGTAACTAAGAAGGATACACGTTGCTAACATTCYATCAGATTACGGTTACTGTACAATTTCCAATACTTCAACCGTAGGGATACCATTGAACTATATGATAACTGGAATGCTCACCCGCCATAAGACCAATGTAAACATAACCGAGATAGCCTGTTAGAAAAAGACAGCAGATAAGAATGGTGTTGCTATTTCTTTTTATCACACTATCAATACGACTGTTTACCAATAAATAATAATAATATCGTTCGTTTAACGTTTTGTTCTTTGATTTAAACTTTTAAACTTTAACTTAAACAAATTTCAATTAGTGGGCA